AATTTGGTCAGGTCTAGTTCCACAGGTTAGCTGGTAGTGCTTTGTGACCAAACTGTGCCCTAGGTATAAGCAACCATGTTAATGGCCTATTTGGATCACCTAACTAAAGTTTAGTTCGTCATTGGATAATATACTAAATATGGACTAATTAATTTTTTTTCTTTTTTCTAATGAGTTCTACTCATCAATTAGCCTCTATTAGTTATTTTTAGTCCACGACTAGTTTATATTTAGACCTTATATTTGGCATCCAAAGCATAGGCTAAAAGTTTAGTTTAGTTCATCCAAACGCGTCCTAAGATGAGATGGCAGGTTACTTGGTGTTGGACTTTTTGGAACTAGACTTCATGCCGTCAGTTAAGTTGGGCCTACACTAAAAATTCCAACACTTCCGGCACTAGTGTCCCAATAATAGGGGAGTGATAACTAAGTTGTTCCAGCTTTCACGTAGAAAAAAATTTCCTAACCTTCCTCTACTATGTTATGATCGAATTTACTTTCTAAAACTGAAAAATCGGATGTTTTGGCTCCCTTTATCTATTAAAATTGGTTTGTTTTTGCTCCTTAGGTGGTTTTCAAGGCGGTTTAACCTGACGTGCCGCCACATTATCCATGAGAGAGGTAAATTGGGCTATGTTGATAGTTTAGGGGTCAAATAGGCTTTACTGAAAAAGTTCAAAAATATATATTTTTTTTTAAAACTACCTAGATGTTATTTTTTTGAAAATGTGGAAATTAAATTCGAAAAATCTAGTTTAATCTTCGAAAATAAAAAGGGAACTAATTCTAGCTCAAAAAAAATATCAAAATAGTTTCATTTTTTAATAAAATAATGCTCTATATTATGATGCATAGACTATAATGTGTGTGTGTGTGTGTGTGTGTGTGTGTGTGTGTATATATATATATATATATAGTCTCATTTTGATGTCTATTTACTGGTATATTATTTTATGTTCTTGCTAGATGTTATAGTTAGTTACATCGACGAGTCATGCGTCATTATAAACAGAAGAAGGTCAACTGATTTTGACGACAATACAAATGCCATGTAACTATCTTATACTTGATCTTTAGTACGAACACAGGTCATAACTTGGCCCAAAAATGAATATGGCCGCATCTTTTTCTGGTTTGGACTGAAAATGAACAATCTAGCTACCTAATTGATGCCAACTCATATAGGCCCTACTAGCTAGATATCACCGCATCAAAAAAGAGCAACATCATTTTATTGCACATAATGTTATATTGCTTCTTGTTTATTACTCCATCCTTTTTATCTGTCGTTTTCACTTTCAGACAAGTCAAATGTACTCCACTTTGATCAAATATATAAAAAATATTAATATTTGTAGTATATAATTAGTATCATTACTCATTAAATAGATGGTTGAATCTAATTTTATAATAAACTTATTTGGAGATACAAATATTTTTATTTTTTATACAAACTAGTACGAATACCATGACGTGGAAATATGAATTTATGTTTGTTGAGGTGTAAATCATTAGCATAAAATTGACACAATGGCGTGGAAATAAGTTAGTAAAATATTGCAATCTGGCCGTGGACAGCCAGTGAACTGTAAAACGTACAATAGCTACAAAAAGCCTTAGGGCCCGTTCGTTTACGTCGATTTCCGGTCGGAACGTTTCCTGGTGATAGCTGACAGGTATAAAATACAGCTGCCTTCCGGCCGGGATCGGTTCCGGCGCTCCGTTCCGCTCGAAATGAACGGGCCCTTACAGGGATTATAGGGAATGGTAATGCTTGGTTGAAGGCATCCGGACGAATGGACGGACCGAACCCGTGCATGTGACCCCAAGAAAAAACGAAGGGGGAGGGGCATGCAATTACAGTCAGGCGGGTCTGTACCCGTTCTTTTTACGGGGCAGCGTATGGGAGCATGTGCGGCCACTCGTACGGGTGCAGTTTAGGGTGCACGCGTGGGGAAACGTGCATGTGCGTGACCACAGAGATGAGGCTCCCAACTTGCGTTCGCTGCTAGCTGGACCGGCCGGCCAGGCCCCTCCTGCTTGTCGTCCTGCTCTTTTCTCTCTCAGTGTTGTCTGCGCCCAGGCCAAGCTGTGCCTGCTGCCGCATCTTGCCTGCAGCGTTGCTGCTTTGGCCGACCGGATTAGTCAGTTGCAGGGCCGGCTAGGCCGCTTGCCTGTTCATGAAAGGAGCGCAGGTCCACATCTGCATGCGTCTTTTTCTTCTTCCGGTTGACCATTGACAGCTGAGTGCTGGCCTAAATTTTTTCGTCACTCCATGGAATTAAGCTCCGTATGTTTTCATGTGTTATAAATGAATGTTTCATCTGGTGTTGCATGTGTTTCATCTGGATGTTGCATATGTTGCATTGGCTATACACGTATGTTACAAGTGTATGTTCCATCTATTTCAGATGTATGTTGCAGGTGTTTTATCTGTATGTTTCATATGTTGTAATGGCTATACACGTATGTTTCAAATATTTTATCTGTTTCAAACGTATGTTGAAAGTTTTTTTTTCTGGACGTTGCTTATGTTGCAGTGGCTATACACATATGTTGCAACCATATGTTTCAAATGTTTCAACTATTTAAGCGTATGTTGCAGCAAGTGTTTCATGTTGCAAGTGTTTTCATTAGCAAGCGAAGTATGTTTCATGCGTTTCAGATGTATATTTTGTATGTTTCATCTAAATGTTGCAAAAATAGATCTGATGTTGCAAATGTAAATCTGATCCCCACCTGCATGCACGTCCACGAGCATGCAACACAGAAGCGAAGCGAGCGCAACAGCATAGGGGGCACGGGCGTAGGTGGTGCCCACCTGCATGCACGGGCGCGCAACACGGAAGAAAGTGAAACAAGCCTCGGTCAGTACATAGACGTGGCAGAACAAACAGGCCTCTGTCAGTACATCACAATCTACGTAGCGACTGGTATAGTAGTACGTACAGAATACGAGTCGCTGATGAAAGTAGAGATATTTTCTAGTGCAACTCCATCTCCTCTCTCTCAAGTAGACCCCATTCAGAATGCTGGATTTTTTTTATTTTCTATAAGTTTTTGTGAAAATAAATTAATTTCATGAAATTTGTTAATTCACGAGTACGCCTTGTCAAATTCCTATCTTCAGCGGAACCCAAAAAAGTTGCACCTGGTCGATGAACACGCACCGGGGAACGACTCTGATCAACCAAGGGTCATTGGATCAATCCAACCTGCTTGTACATGGAGTCAAACATGCATCTCTTGCTAATTACTCTCTCCTTTCCAAATTATAAGACGTTTTGGTTTTTTTTTTAAATTATATTCAAAGTAATTCTGAGGTTATATTGATCTTTTTAACAACGATAGCATACAATAAGAGAAACTAATGGTTAAAATTTATCTTATCACATTTCCAACAATCCAGTCACTTGGCGCCCACGCTCGCGCCCACCGTGCCTATGTCCCACTCCAGCGTCCCATACCCACGTCCCTTCTTCTCCAACTCCGACGAGTAAAGAAGGGGATTTGTGGGGAGCTATGCAGACCAGGCGGCGGGGACGGCGGTTGCGCGGCTTTAGGGCCTTGGCGGCGGTAGAGGCGGCCGGGCCAGGTCGGGGCGAGGACGTCACGGCCATTCGCCAGAGTAAGAGAAAAAAAGGTGGGGGGGGGGAGAGAGAGGCCATGGCGCCAGAGAATCTCGTCTTGAGCTTGACAGTGAACTCCGGCGAGACCCTACCACGCCGCGGCGGTGGGCGGTGGGCGGCGGCAGCGCGTCGAGAGAGCTCGCAGGATTGAGAGCTAGCGGTAGAAAACGACTAGAGGAAGAAGAAGATATATGCGCCGTTGGATCACAGATGAACGGTCAGGATTTGTCGTCTGAAGCAAACCTTAATTTGAGACGCCTGAGCATTAGCAAATCCCTTATTTTATTTGACTTTTTCACGATCGAACGCTTATTATTCCAGGACACGCGTGCCAAAACAGATTCCGTCAAATTATGCACAGACACGCGTGTGGTGCATGCGCGACAAAGCTGTCCATGTATTAGGCCGGCGCTTGCCACTATCTATTCGAAAACGTGAATCTGGAGCAAATTCGTTCATACCACGGTGGTCCTTGGACACGTTTGTTTCAGCCGTCCACGTACGTTTGAAACGCATTGAAAGGCAGCGGAGAGTAGACATCCTTTTTGTCAAGAAGAAAATCTCTCCAATCTCAATCGGCTACTGAAAACTACTTAGAAAAGGTGGGCACCGGTCTCGCAGGAACAGACAACACTAGTGCCTTCTGAAAATGACAATACTGAGATGGACACTCAAGACTGTCAGACGGCTACTACAAGACAAGGAGGCCAGAGGTACGTAAATGACTCCGTTTGAAACGGTTTAAATTTTAGAAGCTCTCACAATAAAGTAACTTTTTTTTGATAAGTTACCTTTTTGAATGAAGAAGTAAAAGCTGCCCAAGCTATGCCTAGTTATACAACGATGGGCTATACTACAAACAAAAGGGTCTCCGGAGATTAATCAGTGTCATGCTGCATGTTGCATCTGATTGCATAAACTCTGAATGTTACCATGGAAAACTAACCGATGGAGTATATTAATTCACCTCTGAAAACTAAATTGCATGGAGGATTAGAGCCTACCGGTGATTAGAGCCTACCGGTGGTGTAGCCACAGATATTTTTGAGACACCTGCTCTCTGGGATGCAAACATGCATTCCTAGAGAGGACAATGCTATTGGTAGTACAGTACAGGCTTGATGTTAGCAAATAAGGGTTGTCAAATGATCAATTTTCGGAATTGTGCAGGACGGAGAAGCACTGCAAAACGTGCATACGGTAAAATCACACATCACTCATGAATTGGAAAGCCAGATTGTTGAACAGAACAGGCATCAGAGAGTGATGGAAGGATGCATTGACTGAATCTCTGATCAAGGTACGTCCTTGTGTTAATCTACCAATCCTCGTCTAAATATAATTCAACTGGCATCATGGTACATAGCAGAATCATGGTATTACAGATACAACGGCCGTATATACAATCGGCATCAAGCACTTGAAACTAGCTACTCTACCACTGTACGTCTCTGTATCCTTGCAGATCGTCGCCTTGTTTTCTTGGAGTTCACAAGTCTGCTCACGCTCACAGTCGGTGCAGGGCAGGTTGCCTGTGCAGACACCGGACACAGGTGCATGCTCTCTGCTCTGCTCCATACACTAACCCCGACCCCGCGCCGACCACGTCCGGCGCAGCAGGGATGGCCGCTGCGCCGACCCGGACCCGGATCCCGACCCCGACCCCGCGCCGGCGGCGAACATCTCGTCGAGGGCGATGACGAGCGCCATGGCGAGCGGGGCGCCGAGGTGTGGCCCCGCCACGAGGCGGAACACGTCGTCCCCGACACGCTCCTTCCGGCGCACCTCGGCCACGGCGTCCCCGCGCGCTTCCCGCACCGCGCAGGACCGCGCCCCGTACGACCCCTCCACCACGTACGCCTCGCCGGCCTGCGCCTGCAGCGGCGTCACGTACGCCAGCGGCGCCTTGCCGGAGGATGCCCCAAGGAGGCCGAGACCGATGCCGAGGCGGGCACGGCGCACGGACATGAAAGGCTTGGCCTTGTTGGGCCGACGGCATCCCGCTCCCGCCGCGGCGTCGCCGTCGAAGATGAGCCAGCGGTCCGGCGCCAGGCCCAGGCTCGTGAGCCGGCTGCGGCGGCGCACGGTGAGGAGCGGCGTGCCGGCCACGTCCATCAGCACCACCTCGGCGGCACGCCGCCGCAGCCCCCGGCGTGCGGAGTCGTAGCAGTCGACGCGGAAGGCGAGAGCGCCCGACGCGTCGTAGACGGTGAAGCCGGAGCAGCTCAGGAGTAGCGACTTGCGCGGTTGCGCCACACCGTCAGCACCGGCGGCCGCTCCTGGTCCTGTTGTTGGTGGCCGCCCGCATCGGCCCCGCGGCTGGTGCTGGTGGTGGTCATCGTCGCTGCTGCGGCGGCGGCGGCGGGGCGCTCCGGTGCGATGGCGTTGGGGCGTGCCCTGGCCATTGTGTTTGGTACTGCTCTGTTCCCCTTTTTCAGACGAGGCGGTTTTTGTTTGTTTCTCCTCTGTTGGTTGCGTCTGTCTGGAGTTTCGGGAGGAAGCTGGAGGAGAGAGCGAGCATGGGGCGGATTGGATTGGATTGGATGGAGCAGAGGGGGAAGGGATTTGTAGCTAGTGGCGGATAGAATTTGGCCAAATGGCATGGGAAGTTGGAGGCGAAGACGAGAAAGGTGGGGGTGGTGATGGTGACTGACCCGCGTAGTCGTGTGCTGCCCAGGTGCCCCCCAATCCCATGCAGGAGAATTGAAGTGAACGGCGAAAGCACTGTGGTATTTACAGTAGTACTGCAGTAATACAGTAACTACCACAGCCTGTCAGCCTAACCGTGACAAAGGAAAAGGAGGGAGATTTTGTAGAAAGTATTTGGAGATGAATCACACATATGGAAGGAGGCGCTGTTTCTTTTGACTTTGAACAGTGAAGGATGTTGATTTTTTAATAGATCTTGGAGATAAAATATCTACGTAGAGATAGTACCGAATTGAGCTTAAATTTAACTAATCTGGCAAAATAATTTTGCCTAAGCATGCTATCGAGCTCAGACTATAAAAAGTGATCAAATTTGATTATCAGCTGTGCTCATGCAGTTAGCCATAATATCTTGTAACCGCGTTTTGTTTCTCTCAATACATTTAAGGGCACAAATTATCTATATGGATGGCAACCAAGAAAATAAGATGACAGGGATGGAAATCTATATAATTTTGGATGGGAATCATTACAAGGTTTGAGTGGCATTCTCTGTGGTTTGAATGGACTGTACACTTCCAGTACTCACACAGTCACACTGTTGTGTTCCTGTAAGCCTGACTCTGCATAGTCTAGTCAGTCTAGAAATGGTCGGCAGAATAGTGAGTGGCCTGGCTGTGGACTGTGGTTGCCTCGAGAGCATGCAGCAAAGGTCAACAAAAAGCATCGCACGCGTCCTGCTTCTACAGTCCCGTGTAAAGCCTTTGCTACCGTCACGCACCCAAAATGTTATCTGCCGCATGCGACTCCTTTTTGTTTGCCGCCATACTATTATTCCCCTGTGGCTTTTAATTCGGTCAAGAAGAACATGGATGGCTGCTTTCACCTTTCTCTCGAGTCGAGTCTCGGATTTCTGCTGACGCGTGTATGGAGCCATGGAAATGCCGGAACGCACTTGGATTCTGATCTCTGACTGATGAGTAGCCGTCCTTCCTTTTCCTTGCTTACCATCATCGTATGAGCTAGTGGAGTTCCCCTTGACCTGTCGATCAACAAACAACCATGCATGGGAAAAGGCCTATCTGGATATATCAGCTGCACTATTATATAGTCCATCTCATAAAACAAAATATCATCATCCATTCATGTTTGAACCGTTTCCACTTTCCACTCCATTATTGGTCCGTACAATTGTAGTGTTTTTAAGAGATGTTCTAGTATATGTTTAATTTGCTGCTAAAAGGTGTATTATGATATACAGGGCGTGCTATTTGTATCTCAAGGGAAATAAGTAGAAAGTCAGCTCAGGTGGTCGGGTTTCTTGCCACTTTAGGTTTGAGTCCTCGAGTTGACGTGGATGTCCGTATTTTTATATAATTTTTTCCAAAACTTAATGGCCTATTTATTTGAGAACTTAACAGTATTGTTTCTTTCAAAGGTAGACAATATACCCATCGATAATGTCTACGTCTCTACTATAATCGCAAAATGTGGAATAATAAGCATACAAGTCCCCAAAATTGCAACAGATTAACATTATCACAGTATTTAAAAGACTGGTGAGGATCGTCTGAGATCAGTTTGATTTGGTTTCATTGTTTGTGCTTCCAAATTTGCACAGTTCTCTTGAGGCATATATATAAAATCTGGTTGATGATGGTGCTCTCTGCATTTTCATTTCTTGGCGGATATCTAACAAAACCAAAGACATGGGCATGCATAGATCAGGGTACGAATTGCACGTAAGAAGAGAAAGGATGGTGTACACTTCCTCTATCTTGCTCTGATCCTTGCTTGTGTTTTATGCATGCTCCATGATTAACTGGTGGACCCCTCAAATTATAGCGCTACTTCCTTCTGGATATGGATGCGCATGCCGATCTTATCCAGCACTAGAAATACATATTTGAGCAATATAAGCCAATAAGGATGCAATTTGGCATAGAAATGCCCCTGCTAGCTCAGGGTATGTGTACAACCTAGCTGCTACCTACATCTGTCTGTTGTTTTTGTTTACTGTTTCGTTTACATGCGCCATGATTTTTGTTATGCTATTCTATGATAATTAATTGATTGGATGGGGATTAATCACTTTATCATGAGTTTTTTATGCTATTTTTTGATAATTAATTGATTGGATGGGGATCAGTTAGTCACTTTAACAATTAAGTGCATCTGTTCACAACCAAATTAAAGTTTGCTAATATCAAGTCTCAACATGCACTACCGGATTCAGCTTCTTTGCCGAGTGCCTCAGACACTCGGCAAAGGCCGATATACACTCGGCAAAGCCTTTGCTGAGTGTTACACTCGGCAAAGGGCGCTCGATAAACAGTTTATCGGCAAAGACCTTTTTGTCGAGTGCACTTTATCGGGCACTCGGCAAAGCCTTTGCCGAGTGCTAATCTGACACTCGGCAAAGGCAAAGAAAAGTCGCCGTGACGGCGGCTTTGCCGAGTGTCAAGGTCAAGCACTCGGCAAAGGTCGCCGCTTTGCCGAGCGCCGTTGACTCAGACACTCGGCAAAGGTGGCCACTATGCCGAGTGCCACCGGCAAGACACTCGGCAAAGGTAGCCTGTTTGCCGAGTGTCCTGTCAAGACACTCGGCAAACATGCGACCTTTGCCGAGTGCCTGTCCCGTGGCACTCGGCAAAGCATGTTCCCAGGTAGTCACTTAGCCGAGTGTCATGGCCATTGCACTCGGCAAAGTGACTGAAAACAGCCTTTTTTATTTGTTTTTTACATCCCATCCAAACAAACAGAAGATGTATATAACAAACATCACCAACATCACATATATATCATCAACAGCACATATATATCACCAACACCACATATATATCACAAACGTCACATATATATCACAAACGTCACATGTCTCACAATATATCACAAATAAGTTCACAAGTAATCAAAGTGCTCCATCATCTACAACCACAATTGCAAATAGAAGTACCATTAACAACCACAAGTATCATCACCAAGATGGTCAATGAGACTGATTTGGTGAAGGATTCGCTGAAGCATGAGGATCGTTCGATGCCGCCGATTGATTCTGCACAAAGGAGAAGAGATTGCATGGTTGAGACAAGATAAATATATACCATACATGAATAAAACTTTCATACTCCACTAGGTTTGACCGTAAGCATGAACATACAAACTAAAACATTTATACTCACATAAGTAGAATAGTGAGGAGGTGGAGTTGGAGGTGGAGCGAATAGCGAAGGTGGCGGAACTACACCCGTAGTGGCTCCAAGACTTTGCATGTACTGAAGAATCTCCGCCATCCTCCACTGCTCGGCCTCCCGCTCGGCCTCCACCCTCTCCATCTTCACCTGCATCTGCTCCTGTATCCTCCTCTCTTATTCCAGTTAGGCCTACAATATATTCACCCCAATGTTACAATAATGCAAAGGAAAGGTATGAACAAACCAATGAACGACGAATAAACCAAGAATAACCTCGAGTGCCTCCACCCGGTGGTGTGAAATGTCCTACCTAGGCCATATGGGCGGGCTCATGCTCGTGCTGCTTGCTCGAATCTAGGAGAGACTGGGAGTAGCGGCCGAGTCGATTGCACCATCGCCAATCCAGTACCGCCCATGCTTCTTGCCTCCTCCCACCCTCATGACGACTTCTCCATCAAGCTCCTCGGTGCTCGGATCATACTCTGGCCCATGGACCTCCCTTGCCATCGATGTGTACTCACTGAGACAGTTGTGGACGGTCGCATTGTTGTATGCCTCGGGCCCATCCTCTGGGTTGTAGTCGACGTCGGGCGTCGCCTTGCCCTTGTGGGCCATAGCAAATGCCTTGAAGATGGAGCAAGGCTGGCCACCATGTGACGCCGACTACGAGAAAAACGACAAGATGATTAGAAATCATGCAGAATTGAGCGTTAGAATAAATAAATGAATTCATGTACCCATGTTTCTGCGTATCCGCTGAGGCTGCGGCTGCCTTGATGGTGTGCTACACCTAGCATCATCAAACGCCGCTCCCGGCACAAGTTGTGCGTCTCCTCCAACTCGCGTGAGCACCACTTGTCCACCATCTGTACCCAGCACTGGGGATGCGTGGCGCACCAATAAGGAATCATCTACAGGCCATCAAGTACATGACATATCAGAAGATTAAATTAAGCCTACTCAATCTCAAAAGGAATCAGTATTAATGTTCTGTATTTACCTGCAGGTACTGGTCCCGAGTCAGCGTCATGGTTCTTGCGTCCCTTTTGGTGACCTTCATTCCAAGGATGGTCCCGTGGTAAGTTACGACGGCCTAGATGCGCGCCTCGTAATGCATGTCCACGATGAGTTTTTTGTAGCATTTGGTAGCCACCGCATCCGCCCTGGCCTCATGTCCGTCCTGGCATCTAAAGAAATCCTGCATACAAACACGATGTATCCATTCATTATTTCAAGAATGTCCAATGAATGTGATGTATTGAGCAATGTAGTGCGAGGAAGACTTACCCACAGCTCTTGCTTCACCCGCTCCGCTTTGTTGTTGAATACCCTGTGGGCCCGATCTGCAGCATCATGGGCGGCGGCGTAGTGGTCAAACGAGTAGGCCGGCCCTGTCACCCGGCGTACTCAACCAGGCCAGGGAAGTGCTCCTTGCACAGAAGACCGAGGATGCCATTGACTTGGCGTGTGTGAGCACCTCCACTCGCCACAATCGTCCAGTTCCTGCCCAAGTGATTAAGAAAAATTATTAATTTCTATTTTGATTTTCAATATATCATATAAAGTAGTGATAAACATCTAAAGTTACTTACTTTTCCCCCTCGGGTCGAATCAGCGGACGTCTCTCACGAGGTATCGGTCGTTGAGGGAGGCTCACGGGACCTCACAAGTAGACGCTCGACGAACTAGAGGAAGCGGAACCCCCTGCTGTCGCCTCCTCCTCGTCGTCCTCCTGCGCGTCCTCCTGCGCCGCCTCGGCGTCCTCCGGGGGCACTTGCTCCTCCTCCTCCTCACACGATGGGGCGGCAGGCGACAGCTCCCTCCTGCGGCTGCTCCTCCTCCTACTCTCCCCTGGTGCAGCGGTCCTTGTTCTTCGGTACAAGGACGCTAGCTCCCTCATCCCACCGCCCACCATCTTTGTTCAATTACCTGCAATTAAAAAGAGTAAACCAATAAGCACAGATAAACAAAAAGTACTTAGAAAGAGATGCAAAATAAACAAAACATAATTACAAAATAACATAGTATTACATGTATTAGAAATAATCTTGATGATCAGGATTAGCTGGATCATAAGTCTCATCATCACTATCAATCATGTCAAAATAATCAATACTATCCGAATGAGCAATGTTGCCATTGTCATTGTCTAAATGTAATCGCTCAAGCATTTGTAAGTCCTTCACATTTTGCACCTCATCTCCAGCGCCCTCTTCAATAACCATTTCATTGTCTACTTCCATTCCGATTGCTTCGGTTAAGTCTATCTCAAGCCTCCCTTCTAGTCCCTCTTCTTGAAAGAACTCTCCGTCATATGTGTTTGGGTTTAAGTTGTAATCTTCATCGTTTGGGATAGGCACTCTACCGTGCGGCGATACCCTGTGCACAATATCCCAACCTTTAAGATGCCTTTTGGTTTGACACGCATATGGGAGATAATAAACTTGCGTGGCCTGTTGGGCCACAATATAGACATCGTCTCCTGGTAAGATGGAATCCTGTCGAATTTTGACTAGCCCAAGATTAGAATATGTCCGCCTCGTTACTTCAGGATCAAACCAATGGCATTTGAATATGACGGGATTAAAAGGTTTGAAACCATGAAACTTGAGTTTGTATATTTCTTCAATTCTTCCATAATACTCGACCTCATCAACGCCGAGCGTAAAAACTCCGGAACTTGTGGTTCTTCGATTGGGCCGACTCTGCTCGTAGCTTGTTGTGCGAAAGCGATATCCATTCA